GTGACACGGCGCGTGGAGGTCCTGACGGACGCTTCGTCCACCGGATGGGGAGCGGTCTGCTTGGGGAAGCCCGCCTCGGGTCAGTGGTCAGAGGAGCAGATGGGTTGGCACATAAATCGCCTGGAACTGAGAGCGGTCTCTCTAGCCCTAAAAACCTTCCGGTCGCGGCTGGAGCAGAAACATGTGTTGATTCGAACCGACAACACTTCAGTGGTCTCGTACATAAATCGTCAAGGTGGTGTACATTCCAAAGCTCTTTTCAAGCAGGCGGAATCCCTTCTGCTGTGGGCGGACCAGTTTTTCCTCTCGGTGAGAGCGGCTCACATCCCCGGTGTTCTAAATCGCGGGGCGGACATGCTCTCGAGGAGCGGAATTCCTCAGGGGGAATGGAGGCTTCACCCTGGGACGGTTCAGTTGATATGGAATCGTTTCGGCAGGGCGGAGGTCGACCTCTTTGCGACGAGCGAGAACACACACTGTCGGACGTTCTTCTCGCTGTCCCGTTCCTCTCAGGAGGTGGACGCGCTAGCTGCGCGTTGGCCGAAAGCCCGTCTCTACGCTTTTCCTCCGGTGAAGATTTTGCCCATGGTGTTGTGCAAAATCAGAGAGGAGGGGGCGGCGGTGACTCTAATAGCCCCGAACTGGCCGAATCAGCCATGGTTCGCGGATCTGGTGGAGTTACTGGCGGGGCAGCCATGGGAGATTCCGCTCAGGAAGGATCTGTTATCTCAGGCGAGCGGAACGATCTGGCATCACAGCCCCGGACTGTGGAATCTTTATGTGTGGCCGCTGCGGGGTCGGTGAGCGGGCGAGATGCGCTTCTCTTGCGTGCTTTGGATACCGTAGAGGAAGCGCGAGCCCCGTCCACCAGGCGCCTTTATGCTCTGAAGTGGGGTGTTTTCTCTAAATGGTGCCAGGATGGCGGTACAGACCCAGCGAACTGCTCTGTGTCGGTTATTTTACGCTTCCTGCAGCACAAGATGGATGAAGGGAGCCTGCCGTCCACTCTGAAGGTGTATGTGGCTGCTATCGCGGCGTTCCACCCCCCTATTGACGGACAGTCTATCGGTAGGCATGCGTCGGTGACACGGTTCCTCAAAGGGGCTAGGAGATTATGCCCTGCGCGTCCGCCTTCGGTGCCGCCGTGGGATTTAGCATTGGTCTTGGAGGCTCTGTCGCGCCCGCCATTTGAGCCTTTAGCTTCTATCGCTATTAAGGAGCTTTCGGTCAAAACGGCTCTGCTTCTCGCTCTTGCTTCGGCGAAGCGAGTTGGGGATTTACAGGCTTTCTCTGTGAGTGATGACTGTATTCGCTTTGGACCGGGAAACTGTAATGTAACTCTCAGGCCGAGGCCGGGCTATGTCCCTAAGTCGCTCAATACCCCGTTCAGAGCGCAGATTGTTTCTCTGCCTGCACTGTCTGCTGAGCCATCGTCCTCCCTGGGTTCGGATGCTCAGAATGCTGTTTGCCCAGTCAGAGCGCTCCAGGAATACATTTCTCGCTCGGCCGCTTTTCGACAATCGGACCAGCTGTTTGTGTGCTTTGGTGGGTGCAACAAGGGACGGGGGGTCTCTAAGCAGAGGCTTGCTCACTGGATCGTGGACGCTATTGTTTTGGCTTATGTTTGCCAGGGGCAGGAATGCCCCCTTAACGTCAGAGCTCATTCGACTAGAGCGGTGGCTTCTTCGTGGGCTTGGACTAAGGGTATGTCTATTCAGGATTTATGTCTTGCGGCTGGCTGGTCTTCTCAGAACACGTTTGCCAGATTTTATAAGCTGGACTTGCCCTCTGTAGCGTCTCGTGTACTTTCGGTGAGTTGATTTTTTGCACAGTATATGCGAGCTTCTCTGCGCTGCGCTCATGAGCTGCTCTGTGTGTTGTGTTTTACTGCGTCACCGCTTGCGTTGGCCTTATTACTGTTGTTGTTGCCCTGACTGATAGTTAGTGCAAACTTCCCCGGTTATACTGCTCGGGATATGCAAATTCTGGCAGTGTTTTGCGAGCTTGTGATTGGTTAAATTGGGCCTATCAGAGGTTAGAGGTTCGCTATTGGCCAATCTCAGCCTATCGGAGGCTTGCATACCCAACGGTCTTATGTTGGGTCTGTTGTCTGTGGTTTGTTTACACTGCCACGGCGGGATTTTATACAGTTCCCATATACGACATCCGTAATGTCGAAGTTCCGTAGCCTTGATAGGGAACGTCTCCGGTTACTTTCGTAACCTCGGTTCCCTGAAAGGCAAGGAACGAGACATTACGCTCGCCGCCGTGTTCGCTATTGATTTAGCGTTCGTTCGATTCTAAAGAAGGATTGACGCTGCATTGTACTTATACTGCATGTTCAGTATTTGCATATTTGCGTCAATTGGCCAGCTTTGCTGGCGTTAGCCTATAAGATTTCAGCGGAAGTGAAGGAGGAGAGGAGTTCCCATATACGACATCCGTAATGTCTCGTTCCTTGCCTTTCAGGGAACCGAGGTTACGAAAGTAACCGGAGACGTTTTTGAAAGAAGTCTCTTATGTTCACTAAGGCTGCATTTATTTGACCAATAATATTGTGAAATATTACAATTTAAAATGGCCGTTTGAATTGATGGCAAAGCTGAATTTTCAGCATCATTACTCCAAGTCTTCAGTGTCTCATGATCCTGATTTGGTGTTTCTTATTACGGCTGTATTTTTTCGGCGCCAATGTTAACAGATTAGAGCATTCACACTGAGGTGGCGTGGCAGTGCAGAAGTGGCAGTGCCGCGATCATTTCAGCTCCAAGTCTATTTGTATTTTTGCTGTGCCGCTTATGCTGAATTAAACCCACAGAGCTAAACTAAACGAAAACACATTATTGCCAGGTTTTTTTACCCAAAGGTCAAAGGCCTGTTTAAATTATTAAAACTAGAGGTATATCTTAACTTTAAGATTAATACAAAGTTCTGTCATGAAACTCTAGATGTCGCAGGCCAATGGATCCTTAACTCAACCTGCTTGTAATCACATCGTTATCTATAGGGCACAGCTGATTGGTTCCTGCTGTATCAGCAGCCAATGGGCTCGCATACTCAACCTTCAAATACTTGGGTACCATCGCTTCAATTGTGAAAGCACAATGGGCTCCCGCTCTGCATACGCACAGCTTCTGCGCTGCCTCCGCACTGCTTGCACGTCCAGTGTGAAACGGGCGTTATTATCAATGTTGCAAACAGTTGTGTTGCTTAATATTTTTTTGTTAACCATGTTAATTTTTTTCAGGATTCTTTGATAAATACAAAGTTCAAAAGAACAGCATTTATTTAAAATAGAAATCTTTTGTAACATTATAAATGTCTTTACTGTCGCTTTTCGTCGCAATCGTTAACACTTTACAATAAGGTCTTTCATTTGTTAACACTAGTTAATGCGTTAACATAGACTAACAATGAGTAAATGTATTTTTGCAGCCTTTAATAATATTTGTTAATGTTATTTAATAAAATGTACATGTTCATGTTAGTTCACAGTGCATTAACTAATATTGTTTATTGTTAGTCCATTTGAATGTTAGTCAATTTCTAATATTAACAAATTAAAATGATCATTAGGGTTGACCAAATGTAATAATTTAGGAATCAATGAAGAATCGATATACAGTACATCTGAAGTAAATTATGTTCTCCCAAACTTTTCCACAAAATCAAAGAAGTTTGTTTTTATGGTTTTTGTTGCATCGTTTTGTCCGCATATGTAGTTCAATGCCTCGATATTTCGATAATCTAAAATAGACTGTAAAATTTCAGATGTGGGTCTGTTGTGTGTTGAAAACACTGTTCGATGGAGCGGTTGTTAGGTCTCCCACGCCCCATCAGAACTTGCCATGTACTGAAAAAAAAAAAAATGTCAGCATTGTTTCTGTGGGTTGGAGGAAATGTCAATCTGACATCAGTCTCCATGCGGTCACTCTCCCTTAGAGCTAACACTTCCTGTTTGGGAATGTTTACAACTGTCAGGATGGCCATTATCCTCTGATGTCATCAGACCAACTGCCCTTTTATCAGACCAGGACACTCTCCCCTCTGCAGTGAAGGAACAGAGACTTTTGCATTCCGGTTCCAGTCAGGAAGTTCACAAAAGTGAAAAAGAGAGGAAGTCTTTCAATGAAATATTTGTGGAAAGATGTACTGAAAAGTCTTAATTGTTATACCGCATTATTCAGATATTCTACTATTCGGATCAAATTTTAAGTTCCAATTTTGCATATTTGTAAGCATGAAATGGCTAGGCAACATGGCGTTAATAATTTAATGTATGTAATTAAATCAGAGAATCTAGTAGAGGTTATTTAATTTAATTAATAGTGTCAGTATTACAGGAATATCATGCAGAAAATGTGTTTTATTTTATTGGGGGGTGGGGTTCAATAAAAAAGGATGTTGCATGTTCATCCAATATTAGACAAAGTTGATTTTAGATATTTAATTATGCATGCTCGTTTCTTTTTCCTTTTTTTAATTCACATTTTTACATAAATTACATTTACTGTCATCCAACATCTAATTTCTTAACACTGTTAAATGGAATCAATAGCAAAATAAATATCCATTTTTTTTTTTTTATAATTGTACATTATAATGTTATGATTTAGTTAGTGTTTTAGTTGTAATTTATTTGGACAAAAATTTAATAGAATTTTATTATCAGCCGCAACCTGAAAATAATGATCAGCTAACAGTTTCAACTTAAATTTTATAAGGATGCACGATATTAAAATTCCAGTTTCAAATAAGTAAATAACATAAAAATGCCAGCTATTTCACTTTTCTTTTTTTCCCACAAATTTCCTTGAAAATAAAGGAGTCTGCTTTTTTCCAGCAGCATCACCCTGCTTAAAGAAATCACATGCAGCCCATGTTCCTTTCTCATCCTGTCGCCTTGCCTATAGAAATGCCACACACACACACATACACAAATAGCTTCACGCTGCATTCCCTCTCACACACACTTCCTGTCTCTCTCTGTCAATAACCAGCCAAGGAGCATGTGCGCCGTAACCGACAGAGCCGCACCTTTCTGGTGGAGAATGTCATAGGAGAGCTCTGGTCTGAACTCACTGAAGGTAGAGTCTTTGTCTTCTCACACACTTTTCTTTTAGTATTTTGCTCCTGCTGTTTCTAATGCTGCTGTCATAAGTTAAGAAAGCCTGAAGCTCTTAAGAAGGATGCACTAGTCTCAAATAGCTAGAACAAAAAAAAACACCTTTCAACAAAAAAACGGACCTCGATGCAGCTTATTCTGGCTAAGAATCATCCAATCAGATATGAAGAGACTGACTCGCATGTAAAACAACAGATTACAGTATGATTTGTTTTAATGCATAGACATTGTGTTTAGAATTTTAGTCTGTCCAAAAGTAATATTATACTTCATGATTATTTCACAGATTAAGTTGCATCAAGCCGCTCAATCAGATTGGCATTTCTGTGTTATATGCATTAAAGTCAGTGAGTGTGGTCCATGGATGTCCCAACTGAGACTAGATGCACCCTAGCTGAGAGCATAAGGAAGATGCTTAGTTTGAAAGCCCTGCTCTGGGGAGCCCGGACTTATTCTGCTGTCTGAATTAGCAGCTGCTCAACCGTCAGAATTTCCTCGGCAAACTTTGCCTATTCATCACTGCTGGAATAACCTCCACGCAAATTAATGTTATTCAAAATCATTCCAAATTTCACTACATTTTCAGTGTTAAAGGGATAGTTTATTCAAAAATGAAAGTTGTCATCATTTACTCACCTGAATGTTGTTGTTGTTCCACACCTGTATGTTTTTAAGAAGATATTTTGCAGAATGTCCAAGATGCTTTTTTATGGGGGAAAAAAGTCATTATGGATTTGGACCATCATTAGAGAGTAAATAATGATTTTTATTTATTTTTTGTTCATTTTTGGGTGAACTGTATATAGTAAATAATATACAAAACCTACATAAAACTTTAATTCCAAAGACTTCTATTTGAAATCCCAACCAGTGAACCCTAAATGTAGGTCTCCGTTCCCCTGACACCTTGGAAAAGCACTTGCCGCACTTTTCCGTCACTCACATCCAACATCTGCAGAGAGTTCGTGGAAAAGTATAAAATGTCACCAGACAAGATGTAGATCCACTAATTTCTTTTTCCTGGTGAGCCTCAAATGTTGTTTCTGCTGCTGTAGGTGACCGTTATGTGGTGGTGGATTGTGGAGGAGGGACAGTGGATCTCACTGTGCATCAGATCCGGCTGCCGGAAGGGCACTTGAAGGAGCTTTACAAAGCTTCAGGTACAAGACACAACTCTTAAGACTAGTAGCTTGAGATTAACATTTAGCTTAATTTAAAGAAGCTTTTATTTAAAAGAGAACTGCTATTCTGAAATATGTAATATCTGATTATTTCCAATAATCTGAAATCATTTTCATCTCTCCATCCTCTCCGTAGGAGGCCCGCACGGCTCTATCGGTATTGATTATGAATTTGAGAAGCTCCTATGTAAGATATTCGGGCAGGATTTCATCGACCAGTTTAAGATCAAGCGTCCGGCCGCCTGGGTGGATCTGATGATCGCGTTTGAGTCTCGTAAGAGGGCCGCAGCTCCTGACCGAAGCAACCCGCTGAATATTAACCTGCCCTTCTCTTTCATCGACTACTACAAGAAATTCAGAGGACACAGTGTGGAGCATGCACTGAGGAAGAGCAAGTGAGTGTCTAAATGTGGCAGAAATCACCCATGATCACAGTCCAGTCAAGTTGCACCAAACACAGATAATGACGAAACTGCCTGTAAATAATCTATCCACTTTCATGTTGCTTGAAACATGTATGTTTTTCCCCCCTTTGGAATAGCTTCTTTTTCCATAAAACAGAAATGCATTGTGATCAACTGGCTATCAAGTTTATTTGCAACCTTGCTTATATTCAAATAATAATAATTGAAATATCCATATGTATTTAAAAAAAAGATTTTTTTTAAAATAAATGATGAAATAATTTTTATTTATTTATACATTTTACTTTTCATTATATCCTATATATATATATATATATTTATTTTTATTATTATTTATTTATTTATTTATTAATTAAATATATATACACTCTTTTTTTACACATTTATTTCCCATTATTTATATATATATATAAATATATATATTCTCCCCTCACTCGCCCCGTTTCATTTTCTCCGGATGAATATTGTTTGTGTTACAGGGCTTGAATTTTGTCGTGGGATTGCACGTATTGCGCATAATTTTACTCATTCCTGCAGATTTTGTGCTCACACCCAAAGTACGCACACATAAAGCCGTCTCTAAATGGAGTTTCTTTTCGCTGCTTATTGCACTTAAACTGTCAAATACACACAAAATAATGTAAAAATGCCTGTCTTGGCGAGTATTCACCCAACACAGTCAGTTATGTTTTAAGTAAATGTAAACAGTTGAGAAAGAAAACATGTGTAACAGTATAATAGAATTGTGCGTCAAATTATGCGGTGATATTAAAAATATATATATGGCAGTTTTTCCCCATTATATTGATTGATGGCCAGTGAAAATTTGGGAGTAACCACTAGCCACAGTGGCTGGAGAGCAAAAAGTTAATGTCAAGCCGTGTGTGTGTGTGTGTATGTATATATATATATATATGTATATATATATGTATATATATATATATATATATATATATACATGTATGTATGTATACACACACACACCATAAAGGTCAGGATTTGATTCACTTATAGTTTTTCTCCATTGCTATAAACTGGTGACTGTTTCCTGCTGACTCTCTGCCTTTGCGGTAATTGTTGTCTGTCTCTTTTGAGGTCGGGCATGTGTGACCTACAGCCCCTGGAGAGTTAATCTGTCTATTCATGACTGCTGTCAATACCGTATACACAGGCATTCAATAAGCCATCATGCCCTGTATAAAGATGGCCAAGTCAGCTAAATGAATACCATGTCTGTGTGTGTGTGATTGCTGACTATGTGCTAAACACTCATAATCAAGGGCATAGGAACAATCTAAAAAACACATGAAACACATGTGGTGGGTGGGTGGGGGTGGGGGCACATGATAAATGCTTATCAGATTAGATTATTGCTTGCAGAAGCTTCTGTCTGGTCTTAAAGTTATCATTTTATGGATCCGGCTACAATTCTTTTCACATCACAACCAAGCAAAAAGATTATCCGAAAATGACTTAAAATAGTAGTCTTCTAAAACTAGTGATAATGGTATCAGAATCTAGTTTTATCATTCTAGCATTTTTGCAAAAAATGTCATGCTGTTATATTATTTAAGAGTTAAATTTATTCTTTCCTCCTAACACAGTAATGAGGTAATCAGTCGAGAGCCACGAGTAAGACTACTCTAACTTGCATGTTATAGATTTTGAGCTTTTATGTCTCACAGGGGACAGTTTTTCCAACAGGCAGGCGAGTCTGAGCACTCGTTCAGCCCTGCATCACACTGCACTGCGCAGCATTATGGGAATATGTGCATCTGCTTACTGGAAACCACAGCTATTAACACACATGTGCTGACTTTTATAGCAGTGTAAAACCTAATAATGTAAACTCAATAATATCAGGTTTCTCAGTAGTCTTCTAAATGTGAAGAAAGCTTTTAAACTGCACCGAGGCCAAATGAGGACACTTATTATTTATTTTCAGTCTATAACTCTCGCTGTTTCTCTTTTTGTCGCTCTTCTGCAGTGTGGACTTTGTGAAGTGGTCTTCGCAGGGAATGCTGAGAATGAGTCCAGATGCGATGAATGCGCTGTTCAAACCAACTATAGACCACATTATACAGCACCTGAGTGAGTACTCGCCCTGTTCTACTGGAACAATGTGCCATATGAGTTACATTTATTGACAGATTATGCCTGTATGTAGTGTACCGATTCAGATAGGATTGACATTTTTTTGTGAAATGGGAGTGTTTGTTGTTCGGATTTGGGTGTTAATGGAAGGTTATGTGCTCTGCATACATGCGTCATGAAACCCCTTTGAAATAAACAAGACTTAAAAATGTCATTTAATTATACAATATTTAATAGAATGTATATAAGGGATTCATTAATGGGGATTGGGCTGCTTCTGGATTTATGTCAGATGAAATGGCAGCAGCACCTCACTTTCACATCGGGTCAAAATTGCATTGTTGAGAGAAGAAAGAAAACACAAAAAAGTTGCATCCGTGTATAGGCAGTGATGGGAATAACGGCGTTATAAATAACGCCGTTACTAACGGCATTACTTTTTCCAGTAACGAGTAATCTAATTGATTACTCTTCTCATCTTAATAACGCCGTTACCGTTACTGCCAAAAAAAGCGGCGCGTTACTATAACTGATGAAGCTGTTTTTTTTTTCATCAGACCAACTAGATCTCTGAGCGAGAGGCAAATACTTTGTTTACTGTTCTTCCTTGGTTAGTGGGCAGAGCACGAGACAAGCGCATCAATGCTGACGATTGGCTGAGGTAGAGTAAAATGTCATTGTAAGCCAATCAGAGGTAGAGTTAGGCGGGTCTTCGAAAGCACGCATAGTAGTGATGGGCATTCGGCTCTTTTGACTCAGCTCACTGAGCCGGCTCTTTTGGCTCACAAACGGCTCTTTAAATGACTTTGACTATAATATTTCAATTTTTATTACATAATTATTTAATTTCTATAGGCTAAATTTGTAAAAAATAGAGTCGGCTCTTCAGATATGCGAGATATGGCTCTTAGAGTCGGCTCATTCGCGAATCGCGAACGACCCATCAAAAGCTCATTCGCGAACGAATCGATCCATCATCACTAACGCTCATTCGCGAACGACCCCTCATCACTAACGGCTAACGCTCATGAATTGCGAACGACCCATCATAACGCATAGTCGGACAGGACAGGACACACAAGGAACAACACAAGACAGTCAGTCTTTTTGGTATATTGCTTAACAAGCTTAATTTAATTTTGCCCAGTTGTGGCCTGTTGAGGGGCAATAAATATCAAAAGTTCCAAAACATCTATTGTGTTATTTGCATTGATCCACTATATAAACATAATATCTACATACATGGCATTTGATTGGAGGCTAGTCTCACTTTGTCCCACAACAACATTTTTTTTTTTTTTAGATGTGTGTACAATGTTTCATGTTTCTGTTAATAATGTAGGCCTATTGTATTAAGTGTCCATTTCATTATAATATTCAGATTTATCATAAATAATTGAACATGCACATGTATTTTAAGTTCCGTTAAAGAGGGGTAGAGGTGGGGTCACATTTGAGCATTTAAAATTTAATTTTACTTGAAAGTAACGCAATAGTTACTTTCTTAAGTAACTAGTTACTTTTAAAATTTGTAACTGAGTAACTAATTTAGTTACTTTTTGGAAGAAGTAACTAGTAACTGTAACTAATTACTTTTTAAAAGTAACTTGCCCAACACTGTGTATAGGTCTTATTATTACATTCAGAATCAGAACTAATGAAAAATACCTGTAAATAAAATCAAGACTGCAACAAACATTATAAACTTGTATTTTATTTCCCCTAATTCCACAGAAAATACTTTTGAATTGAACAGCATTCAGCATAGAACAGGAATGAAAAATATATGAAACAAACATAAATTATGATGAACATCATATTGTAAATGGCAAGCCTAAACAAATTTATTTAAAGCAAAAATGAAACTTTTCTTTTAAGTTTAAGTTCAATTACTGAAAATAATTTCCAATAGTTTTAATTTTAGTTAACAATAACATCGCTGTATATAATATCATAAAAAATAACATAAAAATGTACTGCATTGAATTCCATATATTTTATGTTAGTGCTGTCAATCACTTAAAAAATTAACTAATTAATCGCACATTTTTCTGTAATTAATTGTGATTAAACGCACCTAACATTAAAGTTTCTTATATATTTTTATATTGTAATATTTTCACATTTAATCTCAAAATGAATGTAGAAACAACAAAGACAGTACATTTTAAATATTTGTTTAATGGCATCTTTTTTTGAAAGAAGGCCAGTATCACCGATACTAATACTGAACTTAGTATCGAACTTAAAACAATCTTCACATAAACCCATTATAATAAATATCACATTTACCTGCCCTTCAATATATCAGGGCTCAGTTTTTTCTATTGGCCCAGTCAGATAGGTTCATATTTTTACTTGCCCTGTCAAAATGCACAAAAAGTTATTGTTTTTGTTGTTTTTGACCCATGTAATCTTGTAAACAGTACTTTAAGATTTCCGGGTAGGTCTAACAGGTAGGATATATACAGAAATTGAATAAAGTTATCAAACACTTCAGTCTTCACTGCATAAATCATAAATTAATTACAGATTAATCCTTATTAAAACTACAAAAGTTATTCAGTCAAGAGCAGCGAGTGATTTTCTTTTTTTCTTTTGTTCTTTGATTATCGTTAATGACAGACAGCAGCGGGTTCATTAGGCTGCTGTCACTTTAAGACCTGCCGCACATGACGCGGATTTGACACATTTTCTCACAACTCTTTACATTAATTTAAGACTTCATTTAACGCATTTAAGACGGTGCTTTGCGAGGAATACCTGACAAAACTGGCATTTTGGCATAATTTTGTGTTTTTGTCCATTCAAGTGCTGTCTTAAGCAGCTTTCAATTCGCACGAGTCATGTGTGTATCACACCGACAGGAGATTCACAGACGCACCAGCACTGCGCTGCCTTCTCATTTGTGTCTTATCGTGCTTGAATGGTTTAAAAGCTTTTGCATGAATAAGAGCGTGATCATGTTGGGTTGGAATGGAATCAAAAGGCCAATTCACACTGCACCAACAGACAGTGTGTTACCCCTGTCACGTCTATTGGCATTGGATTGAACATCTTTTATTGAACATATTCTGTAATCTGGTGATTGTTCTCGATGGCCGGCGTCTTTCGGTGCAGTATGAATTGGCCTATAGTCTGAAACGTAATAATTGTAATCTGTGTCCATCATACACTACGTAATTTTCTCTGCCCAATATCTGCAGATTGATATTCGACAGCTAGCATTGACTCCTCCTGACTGCAAATTGGGGTAAAAATCTGGGCAAAAGTTGTGCAGTGTATTCCAGAATCTGTAAAGCTGTATAAACTAATGAGCCGTTGGGAAGCACAATTAGGGCATGCGTTGGCCCAGTCAGAGGAGTCTCGACCATCTGCCCAAAATACTCCAGCACACACAGAACTGGGTCAGAACTCAGTCCCACTGCTCTCATGTTGGTTGAGCACAGCTGCGATCTGTTCAAACAAAAACTACAAGCAGAAACAACCCTGCCAATGAACTTCATTTTTTGGCATTTTGATGAAAACCGGAGGAATGCGTAACATGCAATGAGTTAAATTTTGTAGTAATAAATCTTGTAATGACATTTGTCAAAATCCTGTTTCTCTTTCTCTCCCTGCTTTCGTTCTTCTATATGTTCTCCAGCTGAGTTATTCGACAGGCCGGAGGTGACAGACATCAAGTTCCTTTTCCTGGTGGGGGGATTCGCAGAGTCTTCACTGCTGCAGCAGGCGGTTCAGAATATGCTTCAGGGCCGCAGCCGAATTATTATTCCGCATGATGTGGGCTTGACCATCCTCAAGGGGGCGGTGTTGTTCGGCCTGGATCCCAGCATCATAAAGGTGCGGCGCTCTCCGCTCACTTACGGCGTTGGCGTCCTTAACCGTTTTGTAGAAGGGAAGCACCCGCCCGAGAAGATGCTTGTAAAGGACGGTATGCGCTGGTGCACCGACGTTTTCGATACGTTCATCTCTGCCGATCAGTCGGTGGCGCTGGGTGAAACGGTAAAACGCAGCTACACGCCGGCGAAGCCGTCACAGCAGGTGATTGTCATCCACGTTTACTGCTCAGAAAAAGAGTCTGCCATTTTCATCTCAGACCCAGGTGTGAGGAAGTGCGGTACGCTGAAGCTGGATGTGAGCGGTACTGAGAGTCCAGCAGCACGAAGAGAGATCCAGACGCTCATGCAGTTCGGAGACACGGAGATACGAGCCATGGCTATTGATGTGGCAACCTCTCGCAGTGTCAAAGCTAGCATCGATTTCCTTAGTAGTCAATAAAAAAAGATGAGGGATGAGTAAGCAACACTGCAGAAACTCAGTATTTTAGTCATGTTTTCCAGTAAAATGTCCCAACATCCTTAACAAGATGCATTTGTCACTTAAAATTGCTTAGATTTTTTTTTTTTTTCTGAAAGAAAGTAATACTTTTATTCAGCAAGGATGCATACGTTGATCAAAAGTGACAGTAAAGACATTTATAATGTTACTAAAGATTAAGCAGAACAACTGTTTTCAAGAAATGTTTCTTAAGCAGCAAATCAGCATATTAGAATGATTTCTGAAGGATCATGTGACACTGAAGACTGGAGTAATGATGCTGAAAATTCAGCTTTGCCATCACATGAATAAATTACAAATTAAAAATAGTAATATTATTTATATTTTTACACAATTACAGAAAATACATGTTATACTGTATTTTTGATCACATAAATGCAGACTTTTCAAAAACATTTACTGACCCCAAACCTTTAATCAGGTGCGTAGTGAATTACATTTATTTGCAAATTTTTATTTTCTTGTTCTAAACGTTAACCACTAAATTGTAGATTTATACTTACAAGAAACAAAAACTACAGGGTAATAAAAATAAAATGGTGAAAAATAGTCTTAATATCTCGTGCAGTTATGCTTCTCAAGTCAATATTTCTTGTTTAGAGGATGTTTATATATTTTGACCGGAAAACAAGACAAAATACTGATTAAAAATATTTTTTGCAGTGTAGAAGGATAGAGGAAAGAAAGAGAAAACCGAAAATAGAGATTGAGATTGAGCTAGAGATGAAGTTTGTAGGTTTGGAGTCTCAACTAATACACCATGTTTGCCGACCTTCCATGTGACATTCGCTTGAATAACTGTGCCATTCGTGTTATTTTATTTAGTTATTTCATTTTCCAGATGCACAACTAGACTCAACTTAAGAAAGAAATGAATTTCTCCTATTTGGCCATAGTTGAGTTCATTCTGTTCATTTTTACCAATGCTCTCTTCATCTAGACTCAGTCCGTTATTCTCTGTATGCTTGTATTACAGTCTATTTGTGTAGTCTGGCTATGGCTATTTTCTGCACAGAGATGCAAACTCTGCATGGATAGAGCCAAAATACAGCTGCGTATTGCTAGTAGTGCAATTTGGGATAGCACATTGTATTAACTTAGCAAGTCAAGTTCAGGTTAAGGCAGCTACATCAGTCTTATATTCACAATATAACATTGTTCTCTTACGAAATGTACTGCTTTGCTCTGAAACTCTGGCCTATTACCTCCAAGGCCCAGTCCAGAACCCGTTCATTCATTTAGGTTACAATGAGGAGGTAAAGCAGTTGGTTTGGGCTGCTGGACTGGTGACCAAATTGTTAGTCTAAAACAGAAACTCAACTAACTTTAAGAACGGTACCGCTACACATCACAAAGGTGCTGATGTCCATGACAAAATTACTGTCAGTTTTTCACACTAGTGCTACGCGGCAAAACACAACATAAATCTCATATTTTTTGTTTGTGTTGTTCTTACGTTTCATTATCTCGAGTATGTGTTTCTTTTATGCATGTCAAGGCATTTTAGGAGTTCTGGACACTTATGTTGACTCCACTTGGCAGAAGTTTAGGGCGCCATTTCGTTTGTCCCAAAATGCAGCATATCTTTTCATATTGTTGGTCAGTATGTCGCTCTAAGCGGAATGAGAAAGCATAAATCCTAGAATGTGAATTTAAATCATCATTTGAAGTGGCAGCGACAGTATCCGCTAGCTGCACCTAAACATGATTTGAAAGGATAGCCATCGCTATATGCTAGTTGCCTTTAATCCTGCTCTTATAGAAAGAGATGCCACTGATTTTTTTTTTTCCTGTTTTTATTTAGTATTTTTATTTAGGAGATTATTTTGAAGAATATGTGTCAAATGAAAATGTTTATTTCTGTATATACAGTATTTAAAGATATTGTACAGATTTCTAGCATTGTTTTAGCATTAGCAGCTTTATGAGCAGTGTGTGTATGCAGGCCTTAAGAGCACACGTTCTTTTTTCCACTCTCACCAGCCTTCACATGGATAGTAAATTCAGATTTGACCCTAATCCAAACCACATAAACTGAAACTTAATCCCATTCCCAAAACCATTCTATTTTAAACCCTCTCTTTATCTTAAACCCAAACAAACCTGTGATTCCTAACTTGCAATTCCCATTTCCCAATCTCACATGCGGCTTTGTGAATTGCCTTTGTTGCTCTATTTTGAACATCACAAGACTTGAAAACCTTTGACCTTAATAACTTTACTCGCAGTTATCATTTGAAATAAGACATGTAACATTGTGGTATATTTTGGTCTGGGGAAATGAGGTGACTGATAGTTTATGGTGAGTATGTGGTCAAATCTTATTCTGTAGATGATACCACAAATCACAGGCAATAGTTGTGCTTTTGGTTTGGAAGATGCTGAGATAAATGCAACGCTAAAAAATGAAAGCAATAAAGTATTGCAATGTGACATTCCACATTTTATTCCCACTTGCTCCATCATCCTATTCTGCCAGTGTGACGTCTGTGTCAAAGCTTCAGCTGCAAAATTGTAATGTTGCTATGAAATTGTATTAATTAACATTTTTAGATCATTGAGGTGAACATTTTCATCATTTTTTCACGTTCTTTGAAAGTCAGCATTTTTGGCGTTCTTGGAAAAATATGCGTCAGCCAATTGCTTTTCTATAGATTTGCATAGCAACGTAAAACAAGAAGCGCCAAATCGTTCTTGCACAGGACAGGTAAAATGTGTGATAATAGCACAGATCCTGGATCAAAAACATGATGGATCAAAAGTCACACCGAGCATCTGGCAGATTGTGAATAAAATATCATCAAACAATGTAATATCATTGAAAATGAAAAATAGCAAGCGACACACTAAATGCTAACGCTTCTCTAAATGTAATCTGAATTTGCTGCTCATGTGATTAATTGCAAATAATTGCATCTGCTCTGCACGATTCGCATGAGTGACCAAATAAACATGAGAATTTTTTTTTTGGTTTGGTTCATTTAAATATTCTATTTTAAACAAAATGGATCTCTGGATGATAAAACCCGAGCTACCACAAATCACTCTCTCATCATTGGCTGTGCAAGGCAGGGATGTCATCGCGTGTGATATAAATGTACACACATAGACATACACCTTTACAAACATGTGGCGATTTGTGGAGTAAGCACACCTTTTTTGCTCTGAGAGTATTGATAGGGTGAATGTTAAAACATAAAATATTGTTCTGCTGGTTTAAAGTTTTGCTTTTGTTTTTAACTTGTTTTGCACCATACCGTTTCATGGGCAGCTTTGCTATTATTTTTTATTTTTTTATTAATAACACAATGTATAGCCTCTTTACAATATGTAGTTATTGCTATGATATGTTTGTAAAATCACATAAAAAGCACTAATTTTTTGTTTTTCAGTTTCTTCACTCTGTTTAAAGTATTAAAATGCTCATCCCTGTTGGGGCGACGTTTGCTAAAAATTCACTGTGAATTTGATTTTGATTGCTTTTTTAGCATTATTTTATTTAACTTGGTTTAGCTAAAAGTGGACCAGGTCAAAGGGTGTGAAAAAAAAAAAACAGGAATTTCACTGTTTGCTAGATTCTGTGCTTTAAATGCTTGAAAGTCACCTAGTCATTCACTTAGATCCAAGATGGCTGCTCACCCCTAGAGTATACCTACTGGGTTGTTTTTAATTATTGGATAAAGTGTCACTGCTCTTGCCATATGCACATCAAAAATATTTGCAGCTGTATTTCAATCAATGCCAAGTACTAACAGCCAAAATGTCACCCAATAAAAAGTATGTGTTATTTCAAAAAACGGCCGAGTTGAGTTCCTTGTGTGTGAAATGAGTGACCTTGTGCTAAAACATTCTTCTCTTTTAAATCTGAGAGGGGCTAATTCTTCTGTGCGATTCTTTCTTAAGAGTTATAAGGTTCATGAAGTAATAATGACATTTTTATTTAATTTTTCTTAGTTAAAAATAAAGACTAAAATCTACCAGACACTTAAAAGGAATAATGAACACTTCCATTTATGAATGGAAGAAAACGTTCAATATAATGGCTAGAGGAATGGAAATCCCACTTGAAAATCACAGTTATGCGCATTAATGGAGCTTCCCTATTGGCATTTTATGCATCATTTCAACCACCCAAATTCATAAGCAACTAAAAATTGTACAAGGTGACGATTTCATGTTAAAACATGAGATTTGTACAGAAATGTAAAATTTTTAGACGGAAAAAAAAAAGCATTCATGAAATCAAAATTTACCATTCTTATTTTTTATGGAATTATTATGAATGATGTAACCATACACATTATTTTATTTTATTTTAATTCATGTCTGCTCATATTTCCCCTCCCTCTTGCAAATACATCTTTTCTCTGATAACGTGTTTACTGGTGTGAGAGCGGGACAACCTGTTACTCGCATGAGATCACAGCAGTGGCAAATCACAATCATCTAATCATCCAATCAAACGAAATTATTACCAATTTGCAAAAATGTAAAATAGTTACAACAGTGTGATGGTAATTTAAGATTATGCAGCACAATTCATGATACCATTCCAGTCCGATTTTTTTCTAGATTTGAATTTTAATGTAAGCAAAAAATATAATTTTGACAAATGTTTCTCCATATAAAGTAAGTACATGGGAGGGGTTGTACTGCACTTTGCCAGGGTGTTGTTGTTAATATGGCCGGTGAACTATAAAATGAATTTCGATTAACCTAAACCTTAATCTAACCTGTTAGTTAGCACAAGAACATACCCAAACTAAAATAGATACAGTTCATGAACCCTTTGCACTAAAAGACACTTGGCAGTTTATTGTAAAGTCAGAAATCTAGCCAAAAAATGGTTATAAATAGCTTCAAAGTTTTGTAAAGTTATTAGAAATGTATAATCTTTATGAAAATAAAGTTGGCATAGTTTTACTCAAGAAATGCACTGCAGCTAAAGACACATGTCTGACCATGTTATATTTCAGATCTGAAGATAAGTCTAAAACTCTTGAGTTTTATG